ATTTTAACAATTAGTAAATCTCAAAATTTCGATTATTTCTTCATCGATTCGAACGAAACGATTTTCTTAAAGGACAGTTTGGATTATTTCAACAAAAACTTTAATTTTAACGACGATCGCGGCGATGTTTCGGTATCTGAAACTAGTACGATTAATATAAATTTGAAAAATATTTCTAATGAAATGAAAACTGGCAACGCTAGGCAGAGCTGTACTCTTTTGATGACGTTAATCGTCCATAATGACGATCATCTGTTAAAATTATTTTGGGATTTTCACATTTATTTATTCTCGATTCTATTTACTATTTCTTCTATTTATTCTATTATAAATATGTTATTGTTCTTAACAGTATCGGATAGTCGTTACCGAAAATATTTTTTCTTCTTAAATTCAATGCTCTTGATGTCATCGACATTCAGAGTGATATTTTTACTGTACGATTCTTACAATTCGAATAATCTGAACTTATTCAGATATTTTATTTATAAAACCGCTTATCCGAGTATTAGTTCGGGTTTTGGTTTAATTTTTCTTATTTATTTTCAATCCACCAACCTGAAATTTCCACGTCCCTTCGCAGTTCTCTCCATTATAACTTTTCATTTTCTCTTCTCCTTGACTTCTGATATTATGTCTGGATGGTTCGGGCGATACATAATTTTATTTATGATCTGTCAAATAATATTCATAACGTGGTCTAATTATTTATCATTCATTTATTTATATAATTTTAGAGAACTGTTGAAAATTGCCATCATCAAACACGGCGAATATTTGAGATCGACTTTCACTCGTTCTCGTGTCAATAAAACAAATTTTGACAAGTTAAATTATTATCTGGTGGTTAAAATATCTTTAATAGTTTCCATCTTATTTATTTTAATAGCGATTATCAATATTTATGGTGTTTCGGCTTTGGTTTTTAATTTTAAAACTTGTTCGCCGTGGTCTCTGTGGTGTTATCACACCGTAGATAGAAGCTTGGAAGTTATGATTTGTCTATGCTGTTGCTTTCTCGTATATAAAACTAGGCATTTCTATTATAGATATTCAATGTTTGGGCATTTTTCTTGTTGCGACAGAAGCGCGCGAAACAGGAACCAAAATCAATGCCAAATTTCATCCTCATTCGAGCAATCTTCAGAGTTGTTCTCGGGCTCGGCGCCTGTTAAAAATTCACCGGTTTCGCGCTCGAAGATATGTAATCGCAATTTCATTACTACTATTAATGAAGAATCGGAAATATGTGAGGATAAAGGGCTGCAAGAGAATATGATGTGTATTTCTAAATGGAACGAGTTCCTGTATTCTTCTCCAGAAGCAAAGAGCGAAGAACAAGATTCCATTTTAGCGTGTGCAGGCTCGAAAACACCTTCGTTGGAAGATTCCTATTCACCAATTTTTCGGTGTCATTACGGTCGAAAGTCAAGCCCTTGCAGTTTTGCAACTACCGATAACAGTGCCGATACTTCAGATCAGTTAACTCCTGCCAAACAGGCGGAAGGAAGATTAGGTAGTAGCTGCAGTTCCGAAAGTGCTGGAAACAGTTTCGACGTGACACTCTTCAGATTTTGGACAAGAGAACCGCATCACGTGAACGGATATACTGTTTCTCCTCTACAGAATCATCCATTTCGTTTAGATTTACGTAAGGATATGGTAAGTGTCGCTTGTGGTACCGAAGACATCACACCAGATTCTGCCATTAACGTCGACGTCGTTATGGAAGAGAGACACGAAATTAATGCGGTGAATAAATGCCTATCCGAATGTGATTTAAATAAAAGTATTAACAAATATGGACAAAGAAAAACTTTAAGTGACGGAAGTCACCGAAAGGTTTTCACAAACTTGAAAAGAAATCTTTTAGAAGCTGATTCATCGATCCTAACGTGAAATATATTTTATGTATTATGTAAAGAATGTTTTAGTCATCCTATGTTACTGTTGTGAACATTGATATGTAGTCATAAATTTCATTAAATGTTGTCAATTCATATAAATGTGCCCGTCAATTTCTTGTTAGACACTGCTTCGTGAGGAATGTTAACAATTCAGAGAGCAATAGAAAGTGCTACATAACAATATCACACACTTTAGATAAAGCCAAGGAAACACAGGAATGATGTTGAATTAATCAATTAATGAGTGTCACCAAAAGGTATTTAGTGAAGTTATTTAAATTTAGTTTAAAAAATTTTTAATTTGAATAAAACTATTTACTCGGCTTCATTCTTTGAATGCATATGTGATTGTAATACATCAAAGATGAATAAAAATCGATACAAAATTATTTTAATTATTAATTATATGGAAATGTCGATAATTTCATAATTCACGTAAAACAATAATAATAGATTAGGTTTGTGTGTGTGTGTGTGTGTGCGCGCGCGCGCGCGTACAGAATTTGTTTTATTTACACTTACAAAGTTAGACCTGCACTACTGTACTAGTAGGCAAACCGAGAGAAAATGAAAACTTGTGCTTTGTTTTAAACACTGCCCTATGGGCCTCTTAGCAAGCCCATTATGGATTCGGCCACACCTACAATGGAGCGGGCGGGGCCGACATATTCGGTCAGACCACCCCCGAAAAATTACTGGGGGGTTTTCGACCCGTCCGGATTCGAGCTCGAGTCCCCAGAGCGTTAGGCTGCAACCTTAACCGCTCGGCCATCCGGCCTTAACTTAGTTGTGCTAAGGTATCGTGACGTCAAAGTCAACGAGTTTTCATGACGTTAGCGATTCTGATTACATATTTGATTACGTTTTAATTTGTTCGATGACTGCAAGATTCAGCATACAGCAATGTCTCAGACAGATATATGAATTTGTAGTCCAATTGCACACCAGATGATGCTATAAGGCTACCTTAAAATCGCTACACCAGTATCCAATAAGAAAATTTGAAGAGGTTCACTGTGTTTAAAATTTTAAATATCAATATATTTGTTGCTTTTGAGGCTACTGCAGGTCTTAACCTCGCAGTCAAAAACATTACGTTCTGTTGACAGAGTTTAAAAAAGTCCGGGTCATCGGGCTGAGGGAAGCAGGATTCTGTTTCCCTCAAATTGTTAATCTGGACCATTCTGGGCCCTTAGTCTCGAGTTTTTCGTGTTACAACTCCCAACGTGTTGAAGGTGTCACGTGGTACCATCTCACACTCTGATGTCAAATCGGTAGTCTCCCGTCTCACGTGCTTTCCCATCTCACCATGCAAGTTGCTACTCACGTTGAGTCGAGCATGTGAGATCGCTAAACGCAGAGCCCTACCATAGGGCGAACGGAGCAGCCGCTCCAGGCGCTAAGTCTTAGGGAGCGCCTCAGTGTTAAAGAAAATTAAAGGGTATAACTTAGGGGCAACCAAGGGGGGGGCGCCATAATAGGATCTCGCTCTATTCTAAAACTTGTCTCGGGCCGGCACTGGCTACACGAAAGTGAAAATGGCCGACAAATACGCTATTTCGATGGCAATCGAAGCGTTAGAGAGTTGTTTAAGAAAGCAACGAATTTTTCGAACACGAGTAGATGTCATTTCTTTTTATGTGAAGTCAACACTAATAAAAAAAATTTTAATTCATAATTGATAAAATTATACAGCAAATTTTTCCAAAAATAAAAAGACGTATCTTATTGATCAAAAAAGAGAATTATAATGATAATAATTTATACATATAATTTACTAAGAGCATAGACACTATTTTCTTCTAATTATGTGAAACCGTGCTTTGAAATTCGTTTCTGCTTCTAACACAATAAAGTGCTATAAATTAAGACACTTGGCGGTTTTTCTCATCTTTATTTAGTTAAAAGATAAATTATTAAAATATAATTAAAAGAAAACAAGAAGTTATAACATTGAAACGGCGGAAATCATCAAATTGAAAGATGAAGGTAGTACCACATCAAAACAGCGCATACAAGGAGAAAATACAAGGTGTCAGATATGCAAATTCATATTATATTGTGGATGCGCATCAAAGGAAGTACAAAACTGACTTATGAGTGGAAAGTATAATCAATTGTGTACCACTTTAGTAATAGTTGTATCCAAGTTGGCTGGAAATGTTAAGAATAAGCTGATGTTACTTTAATTTATAAAACTT